AGAACATATCTTTAGTTTTCTATTTCAGTTAATGACATTTTATAAAAGAGATTCCACAAAGGGTAAAGGGGAGGGAAGCACAAAAGGAGAGAAACATGTTAGATTTGAGTTTATAAATGTATAACATGAGAATGGAAACTCAGAATTTAATTATATTTGTTTTCCTTGGTATAATGTAATGGGTTTATTGTTGGGTTTAGAGTTAGGAAGACTTGGGTTTGAATCCTGCCTCTGACACTCTTCTTATGTGATTCTGCAAGTCATTTAAGCTCTCTGAGCCTCAGTTTTCTCATTTGTAAAACAGAGGTAATAATAACACATTCTTCACAGGGTTATTGTGAAAATTAAATAATAGATATAATGTACTTCATATCACCTTAGGGGAAATATATATATATATATTTCTTAAATGTTAATGAAAGAAACTACACAATCTTCATGTATTCTAACCCCTCATCAATTTAATCCCGAAATGATGCTTATGCTTAAATAACCAGATACCACCTACTTAGCCTTGCTGACAGGAGAGTGCTCAGAGACAAAAGCTTTATGAACCATATCTGGTATAGGGGAAGAGAAGCAGGTTTCAGAGATAGGAGGTTAGTCCTAATTCTGAAACAAAGTAGATATAAAACTGAGGCAGGAGAGTGTAGTTGAAAAATGACTAATTTCAAAGTGAGAGGACTTAAGTTAAAATCTTGAACCCCTTGTTTATTAACTATTTCACCTCAGGAAAGTCTCAACCTCTGTGGGCTTGAATTCCATCCTGGGTAAAGTGGAGGAATGGGTGGCTAGACTAGAATGATTTCTTTGCTCCCTTCTTGCTCTAAAATATATGTGTGAGCTTGGTCAAGTGTTTCCTTTAACCTTCCTACTCCTGCATTTCCTCATGAGTGAAGTAACTGAGAAGAAAAGAAAGCTAGGTGGGAAATAATCAAGGGGACAAGCTAAGATCAACAGCCAGGAATATGGGGGCTGGACCAGAAGTCTAGTCTTTTTTGAAGGATCATAAGTTTTACATAATGCCTGACAGAAGCAAAATCAAAATCAGAACCATGTCAAAGCCTGAGGGGGCTAGTGATGAAGGAAGTTCAGACTCAGGCTGGAACAGTTGGGTAAGAAGCAGGCAACAAAATTGTTGGGCTTGACAAAGAGTTCCATTACATTGCCACACCTGAATGTTCTGTAAGTACATGTGTTGTCAGATATGTGTCTAACCTTGCCCTGTAGCTGCCTCAATATTACTTTCTGCTTCTCCCCATTCACTGATATGAATGGGCATTGTTGGTTCTAAGCAGTTGAGAGATGCATAGACATAAGTGGCAATCAAATAGGTAAAGACATAGCACGCATTTATAGGTTCAGCTGTCGGAGGAGGTGTTATCTTTTCTCCATCCTACACTTGAGGGGAATGAAATTTACTTTACAAGAAATCATATGAATGCTTAATGTGTAATACATCTCCTTCAGAGTAGTTTGGTTAAATAAGAAGCCTCCATACATTTTAAGAATGATTGCATTAAAAAAAATTTAAAAAATAACCTAACCAATGAAAATAGAATCTTATTGAATTGTTTAGAATTCTATTGTATAGAATTATGTAAAATACCTAATTTTAATTCAAATGGCCAATTAATTAAAAACAGATTAATATGCAGTTATCCCTTCTACATCATGGGGTTCCGGAGCACAGTGCCTCTGCAATCTGGAAAATCTGAGTAAAATTGTTTGGCCCTCCCTTCAGACCAGAAAAGAAGTTTGAATTATTATGGTATTGAAAGATAAAATATGTTGATATTATACAATATTATACCTGTATTTTATGCATTTCTGAGTTTCTAAAATTTTTTTTCTGCGTCGTCTACTGGCCTTCATGTCTCATCTGCTGCTTCCACAGAATTGCCCCAAAATTCCCATTTAATTTCTTATGCTGATGCATAATATATCAAAACCACAATGTGGAAAGTAATGATGTGGAAGGGATAACTGTATTGTCGGTTAACTAAAAGCATCCTAGACTGGATAGAGAAATATATGTATTTTATAATAAAGTATGTGGGTGCTTAAACTTATCCAACTGGGCCCACAAAAGCTCATATTTGATGCAAATTAGTATGTTTTTTTTTAATTTGGGAAAAGCCTTGAAAAAAAATTAAATGTTCAATATTTGCTAGTCCTGTTGTTAGACTTCCTCAAATTAGCTGAGTTTTATCAGGCTTTTAGTTTCAAATTTACATTCAAAACACTGACTCATGAGTGTGTTTTACACTACATCTTTTAAACTGCGGAGCATTTTATTTTTGCTCTTGTAAAATTCTCTGTAAAATTGGTCTTCTTAGGAAATTTCCTTATGCTCAAAAGAATTTTGTACATTTCTCATTCTTAGTTGCTCTTCTCTTCTCTTCTCTTCTCTTCTCTTCTCTTCTCTTCTCTTCTTCTCTTCTCTTCTCTTCTCTTCTCTTCTCTTCTCTTCTCTTCTCTTCTCTTCTCTTCTCTTCTCTTCTCTTCTCTTCTCTTTTCTTCTCTTCTCTCCTTTCCTCTCCTCTCATTCTTCTCTCTCTTTTACCATTAAGTACATAAGAAAAGAGCCTCCCCCACTCCATGAGGTCATCTGCTCCTTGGATCTATTCCCCCTTTCAGGCTATAATCTTCTGTTGTGATGACATCATCATGAATTGTTATGAAAATGATAATTTTGTCCTCCAAAAGCCCAATCCCATAAGTAATGCATTAAAACAAAATGGGAGCTGTGCCTATGAAAAAAGATGCATTCATAGCCCCTAAAGAGTAGTATGGCTTCAAAAGCCAAATAAGCGCCAGAAACAAATGAACCATGAAGTTATGTCTACATTGGCTAAAAAAAAAGTATTATAAGATTTTAGCTGTACTTTGCAAGCTGTTATTCTGTTTTCCTTGAATCAATGAGTAAACCCTTTGTAGTATGTGAAAACTATATTCCCATAATGACTGAGTAGAGTTTACAGTAAGGGCTCTGCAGCTTTATCTAAAGGCTAGCACCAAAAGGGACTTAAGTGGACATCCAATCCAATTCTTTCACTGAGATCCTGAGAGCTGAGATAATGTGGCTAAGGAAGGAATCACCCAGTCTGTTAATAACAGAGCCATAACTAAGCCTGAGCAACCCTGACATCTAGCTCCATGCAATTTCCACCACACCATGCTGCCTCCTTAAAACTGAGATTCATTACGTTTTTGGAAGGGAAAGGGAAATGCTGAAAATAGACACTCAATGGTCAGTGACAGTTTGTGAACTATTTAATTAAGGAGAATTCCCTAATCTCCATTCTGCTAACAAAGTACAATGTTTATAAAACAAACTCTGTGGAATATATTGTTCAGACAGTGCTTGCATACGATATTTTGAAAAAGTTGTCTAAGGATCAGTCATTCAATGAGCACTTATTAAGCACTTACTATGTGCCAGGCAGTGTGCTTAAGCACCAGGATACAAAGAAAAGCAAGAGATCATCCCTTTTATCAAGGACCTCATCGTCAAATAGGAGATCATGGTTTAGAGTTGGAAGGGATCTTAGAGGTAATCTAGTCTGCTCTTCTCATTTTACAGATGAGAAAATTTAGGACTAGAGAGTTTAAGTGACTAGCTCAAGGTTACAAAGGTAGCAAGTGGCAGAGCTGAGATTTGAATCCAGGTCCTTTGATTCCAAATACAGAATTCTTTCAACTGTTACAATTCTTTGACAATATATTAACCTACGTTTCAAAATTAACTGTTTCTCTCCTCTTCCCACCATTTGGAAATTTTTTATTTTATAGTCAGATAAGTGGAATGAAGGCAGCTAGGTGACACAGTGGATAGAATGCTGGCCTGGATTCAGAAAGATCTGAGTTCAAACACAGCCTCAACACTTAACTAGCTCGTTTGCCTCCTTATCTATAAAATGTGCCAGAGAAGGAAATGGCAAAGCACTCCATTATCTTTGCCAAGAAAACTCCAAACGGGTTCAGACAGAGTCAGACATGACTGAAACAACAGAACAACAAGTGGATCAATGGAGTTCAAACCCAGATTCTGACACTAGCTGTGTGTTCTTGGGTAAGTCAACTAATCTCTGTCTGCCTCAGTTTCTAATTCTGTAAAATGGGGACAAAAATTCCACCTCTCTCACAGGATTGTTGCAAGGATAAAATTAATTATTTTTTGTAAAGCATTTTGCAAACTTTAAAGTACTATGTATATACAGTATACATATATATGTGTATGTGTGTGTGTGTGTGTGTGTGTGTGTGTATATATATATTTATTATTTAGACATTCTACTTCTATTGGTTTGATTTAGTTTTTAGAGTTTTTATGCAAATTTTCTTAAGCTGTATAGAGGCTTCCATTTTAACAAAACAAATCTGAAATGTCTTTCCTCATTTCCTGCCCATCAAGACTACAATTTATAGGAGAAAGAAATAGCTCAAAAGGGATGAAGACAGTTTTTTTTTGTTAAAAAAAGTACTTTCTTTCAGATCACTGAGTATTAATGATTACTTTGCTTGTTATTTTTCCAAACAAGGACTAACCAGATCTTTTGAATATTATACTTGATATAGTCACAATCTGATCTAGAATTCACCTTGTCATAATTACTGTCATTATTGTAGGAATTTAGGGAGATTTCTTTAGGAATTTCTATTTTGCTTTGTGGTTTGCATCACTTCATAATTTCAGTTATTCATCTCAGGGCATATTTTTGAAATTTCTTATTTTTCATCAATTTTTAGTTTTCCCAAAGTAATACTACCCCCCCCCCAAAAAAAAAAGTTAGGCATCTATTTTGCTAGCTATTGTGAGAAATACGGGGAAAAAATGAAAGACCCCCCCTCCTTGTCCTTATGGGGATTAAATTCTTCTTAGGAGAACCAGACATAGCTTGAATTTGTGTAAAATTTTATGGTCTACAGTATGAATTCTGCAAATACAATGAGAACTTTTAATCAGCTCAATGAAAGCAATACAACAAAGTACTTACCTATAATTTTGCTTTTCATTTCCTATGTGAAATCTGTCATACAGTGAATATGCCCGGTTTCCTTCCCAGTCCATTAACTCAATTCTTAGAGAATATTGCCTCTGACTGGTAATTGCAAAAATAAACTCATTTCCCAGCCAGTATTCACCAGATGGATTACCAAAACCCTGGAAAAAATGTAGACGAAATGATTGTGTTAGAGTGAGGCTCTTTCAATTTAAATTTTACAGAATTTTTTGCATAATTAAAAAAAGTTTGAATAAAGAAGAGTGGCTTCTAAATGCTTTAGTGTGTTTCTGCTATTCTTCCCTCTATCCAGGCTTATGTGCAATATTTATAATAAACTTAATTTTCTTGGAATCCTGGAACATAGGGTGCTCTATTTAATAAAACTGATGTTTAATCAGAAAACCTTATTTCAACCTTTGCCAAGGATCTTTAAAATATAGTATTGCATATTGTCCATCTAGTAAGTGAAATGGATTGAGCACATTTTATTCTTTCTTTGATAAATTATCATCTGGAGAGACTTCATGCTATTATATAGATAACATTTTTCTTAGTGATATATGACTGCTATAGCCTACCTCCCAACTTGAATTTGTACTGCTAAATGGATTTCTGTCTGCAGAAGAAGGGCTTGGTGGTGAACCAAGCTTTCTGTGTGAGATTGGGTCCCTTTGTTACTTATTGTATACCAAAATAATCAGAATAACTCCCATTTGGGGAGATTCCCTTCCTTAATAAATATCTTATTACATGTAGTTTATTGTATCCATTTCTGCTTGCATATTGTTATCAACTTTCTTTGAAGAATCTTGAAATTACGTAGTGTGTTTAAAAAATCCAGTAGATTTCCACCCCTTTCCAAAGTAAATTTTGCAAAGAAGACTTACTGGACTTCCTTTCCCTGCAGTATGACAACAGTTCCTTCTAACAAAGTTATTAGTATCTACAAAGGAGAGGTTGCCTACTAATCCTGATACAGCATTCACTTACTTTTCAAGGTTACTGAATATGTGTTATCCTTCAGCTAATTATGAGAAACTGCTCAGTACACCCCTCCCATCCAGATAACTGCACTAATAACTAATATTTATACAGTACTTTAAGATTTATGAAGCACTTTACAAATATTATCTCATTTCATCCTCACAACAACCCTGGGAGGTAGGTAGTATTATTGCCTCATTTTACTGATGAGGATATTCAAGCAGGAGTGGTAAAGTGACCCGCCCAGTATCACACAGCTAATTGCTGAGGTTGGACTAGAACTCCTGGCTCTAGGTCCAGCACTCAATCCACTGTACTACCAGGCTGCCTACTTAACAGCAACATATATCTAAAGCAGCTAATATATTTGAATGTCTGCCAATCCTGAGTAGCCCAAAATACCAATCATGATTTCATAAAACACTGTCTACAAGCTCAGCCAAGTGTATTTTAGCCAATCAACTATTTTATAACCTTCAGGAACAAATTAAAAGGCAAAAATTTGTTGATAAATGATAACAGAAATAAGCCCCCTTTTCTCTCTATAAGGAGAAAACAACACACTTTCAAATTATACTCTGAAAAAGATCACTGCTGCTGATTAATTGTTGCCTGCCCTTCAAAGATGTAGGAAGTGATGGAAGCTAAGGCAGGACAATAGAGGCATTCACATTCTACTAGTCATCTCCATCATGATAAGCTCCAATTTGAAACTATAAGTTAAATATTGAGCTCTGGTTTTTTTTTCACATTTTGATAACATGGTGTTAACGCTTTGAATATTCATTTATTTACAGAGCATCCACTGCTAAGTACTGAGGAATAAACAAGAAATTGATAATCTTTTCAGCCTCTGAAATTATCCCCCCAAACTCAAGACACATTCTGAACATACATTTTCTTTGTGTAGTGCTGTAGGTACAGATGTAGCTATCAATAGAAGGTAGAGCAGATTTAGGCTGAATCTGAAGTGATCCCAGCATGTACTCATGGAATTGATATTTTTATTCAATATCTAAACAAGCTCACTTGTGATCTTTCTCCCCAAAGTGGAAAGTAGGGAAATTATTAATGTTAATATTACTATTAATATTTGTGTTAGTGATTAATGTAAGACCTTCTTTACTTGAATTTCTCATTAGCTAAGTTTTTACTATATTTGAACTGGGGAGCTACAAGGGGAAAATTCTGGGGCAATCATAGTAGCCTTTAATATATCAATACAAGTTATCATAAGGGAGAAAAGTGACAATTACTTCCAAGAATTCATAAATTTTCCCCTGAAGAAAGTTTTCTGCGGCAAGTATATATCTATATCTATGTATATATATCTTTGGCAAGTGACTCCTTTCCCTATTCCTTCTGCTATATCCTAAAATGTACTGTGTTTTTTATTGTATGGTAGCAAATACCCTATCCCATAATTAGACATCTATTCTAATCCATCCATCTATTCTTTCTAACATCAGAGTGCGGAAGATGACTGGAGATGCAAAGCCCTTATGACACTTGGGTCCCCATGAATGAAAATGAGCCAACTCTAAGTATACTTGACAAAGACAGAGAAGGAATACAAACTTGGGATCTATCCTTATTCTTAGTCTGGTCTTCTTGCCTTGCCCTCTTTTCTTTAGTCAGCTAAGCCAGATTTAGAGAGATACTAAATGTGAGAATATGTCTGCTTATCCAAAGCAAAGAATGATGAAGTGTTAAGTATTAGGTCATACATTTCCATGCTGTTGAAAGTCCTGTGTCAATAAAGTCTTTGGTCTTCCCAAGGGAAAAAAAGCAATGGTCTCAAGGAAGCCACAGAAATGGAATAACATTAGTGTCATTCTTCACAGAGATTTCATCCACGTTTCTGCATGCAAGGATGTGCCCTCCCCTTGAATTCAGATGAATATCTCTTCCTAAGCAGTCTGCCTTCCTGACTAAATATAAAGGATGAAGAAGCTGAATGGAAAGTGATGACATTCACTTTTTAGAGGTCAAATTCTATTACAACCATCTTTTTTCACCCCTTCCTTCCCAAAACCTTTCAAGCTGACAGAAGACCCATGATTCCACACCTGCTGTATTGTTGGACACTGAACATTTGTCTACATTGAGTCAAAGAGGGTGTCAAAGATAAGCCAGGGTGGGAATCCATTAATAGCCAAATTCAGTGATGGGGAAACAAAGATTTTGGAGTAAGGATGGAAAAAAAGGAAATCATTGGCACATTAAGAAATTTCCTCACACACAAAATCACCATTGTTAGAATCATAAAATGTCATATTAGAAAGGAACTTTAAAGATCATTTATTCCAAACCCTCCCCCTTTCTATAGATAAGGAAATGATTTCCCTATTGCACTGTTTATTTACTGTGGTGTAGGTTGTTCAGTAAATTCATTAGCTTTCCTCCCACCATCTGTTCACTTAATTCATATTTCTGATTTAAGATGACCTTTTCAGAAGGTTTACTGAGGAATAGTTTCATTTTTAAAAGATTCTTTTAAATTAAATCTATAAATTACATGAACTTTAAGTCACTCATTAACATTTATCATTATTCAAATGTAACATATTTGATAGACTGCTAATATACCAGGAATTCTTAAATAAGGGCAAAGAAGGGTTACTGAGTTTATTTGATTGAATCTGGCTATGTATGTTTGTCACAGATGTGGGAGTAATGATCCAAGGGTTTATTCTTTATAAAAATTTGACAGAAGCTGTCTTAATAATTTCAATGTGGATATTGTATGTGTACTACATTAGTAAAATGTTAATACTCTAAACATATATAAATATGGTTTTTGTATGTTTAGTACATGTATACATATACAAAACATCTTGTAATCAATAGTTTATAAAACTTGCCTACCCTACAGTTGAATATGTTCTTTTAACAAATGATCTCATATAGTGGACTCAAGCATTTGAAGTCAAAGGACCTGGATTCAAATGCTGGTTCTGTTGCCCTTTCCTTAGAGGCAACTAGGTGCTGCAGTGCACCAAGTGTTGGGCTTGGAATGAGGAAAACCTGAGTTCAAATCTGGTTTCGGACTCTTAATAGCTACATAAACTTGGGTAATTCATTTAACTTCTGTCTGCCTCAGTTTCCTCATCTAAAAAAATAGAAATAATAACACCTCTGCAACACCACAGGATTTAGTTGTAGGCTCTCTCTTCTTCCTCTTTCTGTTACTTGTGGGGATAAAACGAGTTAAGATTTGTAAAGCCTTTGTAAATCTTAAAGTGCTTTAAAAGTGTTGGTCATTATTATTCTTTTCTTAAAAAATTAATTTATTTTGCTTTATCAACCATTACTTCCATAAGTTTATGAGTTTTAAATTTTTCTCCCCCTCCCTCCCCATGTCCCTCCCCAAGATGGCATGCAATGTGATATAGGCTATACATATACATTCCTATTAAACATATTTTCACATTAGTGTTGTTGTAAGTAAGAATTAGAACCAATGGGAGGAACTGACAGAAAGAGGAAACAAAACACAACAGAAGAAAACAAAATAGCAAATAGTATGCTTTGATCTGCATTCAAACTCCACAGTTCTTTCTTTGGATGTGTATAGCACTTTCCATCATGAAGCCTTTAGAGATGTCTTAGATCCTCGTATTGCAGAGAAGGGTTAAATCTATCAATATTAGTCATCCCACAATGTGGCTGTTACTGTTACAATGTTCTCCTGGTTCTGCCCACTTCACTCAGCATCAGTCCATACAAATCTTTCCAGGTTTTTCTGAAGTCTGCCTGTTCATCATTTCTTATAGCACAATAGTATTCCTTTACAGTCATATACCACAACTTGTTCAGCCATTCCTCAATTGATGAGCATCCTCTCAATTTCCAATTATTTGCCACCACAAAAAGAGCTGCTATAAATATTTTTGTACACTTGTATGGGATACAGCCCTAGAAGTGGTATTGCTGGGTCAAAGGTATGCACATTTTTATAGCCCTTTGGGCATAGTTCCAAATAGCTCTCCAAAATGGTTAGATCATTTTACAACTCCACCAACAATGCATTAGTGTTCCAATTTTCCCACATCTTCTCTAACTTTTATCACTTTCTTGTTTTGTCATGTTAGCCAATCTGACAGGTGTGATGTGGTGCCTCAGAGTTGTTTTGATTTGCATTTCTCTAATCAATAGTGATTTAGAGCATTTT